CCTTTTTATAAACTTTGATAAGCATTTAATATTTATTGTACAAAATATCTACTAAAGTATTTTTACATCCTCCTTTTGTTTACATCCGTTGAAATGAAGTGCGCGCACACATTTTCAGGCAGACAAAAACTGAGTATTATTATAATATATGTTACATGATAGATCGCCTTTAACATAAAAATTATCAGCATTTAATTTTTTTTTATTTTAACACTTTTTTAAAATTAATGTCCTTAATGCAACTTTCGAGAACTATGTTATATTCAAAATAATTTCAACTACCGCCCTCTTTTGGTACATGGAGGCCGACATGATACCTAACTCCGCTCCAGTGTTCGGCCATATTGGTATGGTTCAGTATAATCAAGAAAAATGTTTTCATATTACAAAATCAATATTTGACAGAAATTCTTAGGGTATTTTAACCTCATATTCTTTTGTAGATAAAAATATTTATATTACTAGTCCTGCTGTTTTATTTCTTCTTCTGTTTTCTGTAAACATACGTACAGAAATGGAAGATGCACCATTTAAAGAAACAAATAGAATAAGACATCTTATATCCTTTTATAGCCGGGCTGCTATTCACATCCACCATTCAGGTCTTTTAATACATTTGTTTTTTATATTCTATGAAACAGAAATACTGTTACTATGTTTATTTGGTTGCTATAGCAGAGTTTGTACTTTCTTTAGACGTTACTATGGTGAACATTGGTAAATACATTGATCTGCTCAGAAAACATGTACGTGCATCGGTTGAATCAAGGTTTGTAGAACTTTCAACAAGGAAATAAATGACGATATAAGAAATTTTAAATGAGCCACGCCTACCGTGTTAATAATGCTCTTAGTATGTTTGAGGACACTAAAATCTAGATAATATGGTTTCGACTTAGTTTTATAAAATTCATTACAACTGAGTTACATTATTATTATTTTTAAGTGTCATGTGAGAACACTTGTCGATAACGTGACGTTATGGGTAATATCCAGTCTCTCTGTGAAGACTAAGAAGAGCGGTATGCTTAGATAATACTGAACATGACGAAAAATGTTCCTTTCAGTGAACTGTCTCTTGCTGTAATATTTTGTAACTGGAACAACTGAAAGTCACGAGACTGAAATAGTCCAACTTAGTCTATGATTTATTAGTTGCAACCAATAGTAGAATTATGGGATGTGCACCGAGCAGGGACACGGTGACACACCAGCTTGTTGCCGAGCAAACTACTAATATCCGACCCACTTCATATGATCTAGACGAACACAAGGCAGGGCAATACGACGTTATAGAAGAAAGCACCCCACTCGAAAAGAAAGAGGAGCTGGAGGGCACTCTTTTGAGGCACCTAGCTCCTAAATGGGTCCCTCAGATCCTCGTTCCAGAGGAGGAATACGTGTCGGACAGTGACACGGAAACAACAAATACTCTTGGGGTAATGTTTCTAAGTTCTCTGTGATGTAGTTATTCCATTTTTAAACAAAGGAAGTTCATATACCGAGTGGCTCAAAATACAGAAATGTATATTTTGATTCACTCTTTACTAGACCACTTTATTACAGAAACGTATCTTTTGGTTCACTAGAGTGAACCAAAAATACGTTTCTGTAATAAAGTGGTCTAGTAAAAAGTGAACCAAAAATACATGTCTGTAATAAAGTGGTCTAGTAAAGAGTGAACCAAACGATACGTTTCTGTAATAAAGTGGTCTAGTAAAGAGTGAACCAAACGATACGTTTCTGTAAAAAGTGGTCTAGTAAAGAGTGAACCAAAAATACGTTTCTGTAATAAAGTGGTCTAGTAAAGAGTGAACCAAAAATACGTTTCTGTAATAAAGTGGTCTAGTAAAGAGTGAACCAAACGATACGTTTCTGTAATAAAGTGGTCTAGTAAAGAGTGAACCAAAAATACGTTTCTGTAATAAAGTGGTCTAGTAAATTTACTAGACCACTTTATTACAGAAACGTATTTTTGGTTCACTCTTTACTAGACCACTTTATTACAGAAACGTATTTTTGGTTCACTCTTTACTAGACCACTTTATTTGTTAACATTGATTTTTTTCCATTTAATATTGTCTCATTTGTGCTCATCTTTCCATGTTAATGATGCTGAACGACTTTAATATGATATCTTTAGTAAAATTTCCTAGGCAGTTAGTGCTTAGTGATATTAAAAGAAGATATGAAAGACTGTAAGTATCTGTTAATTACCATAAGTAATGAGTAACTCCAATTTATCATTAAAATTTTAGGTACGTTAGAATAGCATGAACGTTTTGGATGTATTACACACATGTATAGATAGGCAGATAAAGACGTATTATTAGATTTACAGTTAGTGAAAGCTAGCTTAGTAGTTCAATGAAGGAATACAAATTTTGACCAAATAAATAAATAAATATGTATATTAAAGGAACATTTATTTGTACTATGTATGTAATCAGCTAATAATTGTTTTCAAGCAAATCATAATTCGGTTTTTAAAGAAAAACAAACCTGTGTATTGAAAAGTGTATCTTGTCTTGGTCTGCATGTTTCAAAATAAGTAAGGATATTGTAATGTTTAGTCTACTAAAGTAATATCTATATATATATTATTTAGATATTGCAAGGTTATGGCATTGCCACTGTTCTGACAATATAGTTTCAGTTGAAGAGAAATAAATTGGGAAGTAGCTTTTTGAAATAACCAGTGCTTAGCATGCTCCCTAGATTGAACCAAATTAGGGAAATGATCGTATTCGTTGAAATTCAGATAATTTCATTCTGGTTGTTAGAAGCGTTTTTAAATAACATACGGTGTATGACAGGGCACAAAGCAAATGTAAATCTTATTATTTTCGGTTTTTCTCATTAGGATCTGCTCAGAGAAAACAATTTATATTGGTCAAATCGAGGGTAGTTAATGGGTTCATGAAGATAACCCAATCCCCTCGCCCTGTTTTATCCCCATTTTAAGCTCATGTTTTATATTGTCGCAAGTAAGATACATTCATGAAGCATTTTCATTAAGTGTGTTTTTTTTGCCTCATTTAAATGTTAGCATTAAAATGAAAATTTTTAATGTTTATAAAATATGTAAACAAGAATATTGTGCAGAATTAATTTTCTCTTATAAAAAAAACAAAAAAACTATTCTACAATGGCTCGCAAATAAATGCGCGGATTGTGTGGAAATTGTGGTTAGCCAGTTAAACATATTTTATTAACTCATTTCAATAACCTGTTTTACCATTATTTCAGGTTGGAAAAGCCTCCTTTTCTCACAGATTTGAGAAGATAATTCTATTTTAATTTAGTATGTAATTACATTCTAAATATTTATTTTGATTAATAAACTTTGGTTATTAAGTACGATCGAAAGACAAACAAGTAATCCAAGGAAGGCGTTCTATGGATTAATGACATCTCGGGATGTTCTATTATCCTGGACTTTAATTATCGAATTGATGCGTGACTTATTTCTCCAACATAATCAAAAGAATGCTATCTAAGAAATAGATCTCTTTATAAACAACTTGGTGATTTGTACAATGAGTAATTCACGCTGGAATCTAAAATATTAATCTTGAAGATAATATATTGAATATTTGGCATATTTTGTATACTGATATGTATATGAAACTTGAGTTATATTAGTAAATTTATTTTACAAGTTATGTAATATAAACACACAATTAGACAAATATATAATCAACGCACATGTAGTCATTACGTCATGAATACGTTGCCTCCGCATTGTGGGAATTAAACATATCACATGTTGTCCACCTAAAAGCAGAAACTGAGCAATTCTTTCCAGTATTACTAAAGCATGATATTGTTATGGCAAGCATAATGGCTGTATAGGTCGTACTTCATTGTATATAAGGTTGAGCTCGATTGATCAAAGGTTATTGATGTTGTTATAGAAACACAAAGCATTTATTGTAACCTAGGTCTTTTAGTGTGATACATTCGGGAAAAATAGATATTATCAGTTTCTTCAAAATTCAATTCTTGTACAAAATAATAAACTCTTGGTTTCCAATACATTAATACAAAAAGTCTTCCCCTAAACAACCAAGAAGGCTTTTCTCACCAACAAGTTATTTTGCGGAAGTCTTCCCCTAAACAACCAAGAAGGCTTTTCTCAGCAACAAATTATTTTGCGGAAGTCTTCCCCTAAACAATCAAGAAGGCTTTTCTCAGCAACAAGTTATTTGTCTCACAACTCACATTATAATGGCAATAACTAAATTGAACGACTGAACATTCTTCCTCAATCAGTTGTATGTTGTGGTAATCGCTTGTTCATACTTAGAACTGTACTTTTGTATGTACAGCAGGACTTCTGTTTTTGAAGCTTTTGGTTTGAAATATTTATTATAATTTAATTCGTTCTAACATTTTTCTTATAGCTATGACTCATTCCTACTCTCTTTTTAAATTCTCAATGGAAAAATCTAAAAATTCTCTCTCTTGTCTGTATTCAGCTGGAAATATTAATGACTGAATTATCTTTAAAAAAAAATCAGGCTTCCCTGGATAGCCGGATTTCGAACTTTTCCTTCAAGTCTTGGCAGAGTTCCGTCAGTTGCGACTCGGGAGTCTTTGAATTAGACGACGAATATGCTTTTGTAATCACCGAACACTCTACCTTGGAGAAGGTTCAAGCAGTAGAGAGAGATTTCACACCTGTTCAGAATCTTGGTAAATTGTATACTTATTGGATGTGTATTAAGATAAAACTAATTGTACAGAGTGCACGGTGTTACTTTAACAACACGTACAACTCGGTATGTTGTATACTTAGTAGGTTATTAGTTAGAAACTACAATAATCACATACAGAACACAGCATTAACATCACATGGAACTCGGTAAGTTGCATACTTAGTAGCTTATCAGTTAGAAACTATAATAATCACCTACTAATTACCTACTAGTTCATGCCTAAAATTAAAACAACCATGTACAGTGTATAAGTTGCATAGATTTGTTAACGGAGATCATCTGTAATGTTGTTAGTTGTTATTATTGTCTGCGCTCTGTCCATTGTGGGAAATTAAACCCCAAATTTTAGCGTTATAAATCCACAAATTTACCGCTGACACACCAATGGACTTGTTTGTATTCTATTGCAATCTTTGTTTTTGTTATAAGTTATTTACTTGTTCTATGCATAATGATATGAGTATCGTAGTAAACACTTCCATAATACTCATTATTCAATTTATATTGCACATTGGTGTATAAAATATATTAAACCAATTGGAGCTTTGTACTGTCACTTACGGTTTGTGTTTTAGTAAAACACCCCCCCGAAGAAGCTGTAAAGCGAAAGTTTGAGTGTCTAATTAAAGAAGAAAAATAACATTTTTTTGTGTTATAAGGTTGTTTATTACCAATATTATTAAAACTTCCATAATACTATCTAAAGAAAACCTGAAAGATGGAACCATGTACGTGGTGTATAGATTATGAGCATTGTGTCTGTGGTGCTTCTGTTGACTTATGACCTTTTAAGACGGTGGAACTATGCCGTCACTTTTATTGGTATATTTGACATTATAAGTCACAAAAGATAAAAAGCAGTTCAACGAACACCTGCAGAAGTATTTGACAAGTAATCTGGGTGTCCTTTGTCTTAAGCCTTGTTACTAAGCCAAAGTTTCGTCCAATAGAATGAATACGTCTTTTGTCTTTACTGGATGACGAAGACTAAGAAACCACATACGTATTCTTTGTATGCTTATGTGCGACATGTGTTTCTTACGTATGCAATTATATTTTTTGTTTTGAGTTTCAAGATACATGAACTCATGACTCAGCTTCTAGTAGGATATCGATCTTTCTGTCATTTTTTCTCAAGTGTTCTACAAAAAAAAAACTACTTGTGCACCAATGCATAGCTTGTTTCAAAGCATTTCTTATAAAAATGTTACATAAATTTCCATTAATCTTTTCTATTCACTGTATCGAGATAAACGTCATATCATTGATAATAATCTTTAATCTATTGATAAGTACTATATTAATGTCTTCTTGAATAAACAAGTTAATCCAGTTCACACAGCAACAGTTGTTATCAAACAGCTTGCTAATATGAACAGCTTCTCAACCAGAGCCGGATTAAAGGAACAAAAATTAGGGTTTTTTGAGACTTTTGGAGCCAAGCTAGTAGAGAAAACTTTACGTTCGTGCATGTTTACTATAAACTACATATGACAGCACTAAACAAGAAATGTTTGTAGATGAAGGGTTCTTGACGTCATATATTATACACAGAATAATTTTATCTGCTAATACTAGGATAAGAGCTAATATATTTCAATATGTCTTAACAATAATGTATTTCTTCGAAAAACTTCCAAACCTGTGGATATTTAGCTGTATTAAATTATTAATTATTATGAATGACTTTGGGTCGGAAGGGACCAAAGTTTTGATTTGCACCAGAGCGACAGCCCCTACAGCCCTACTGTTAACATGACCATGTTCTTAAACACTACCGGTTTCCAGGTTGGCTTGAAGAGCCCTGACATTGGGCGAAAGGCCTCGTCGGCACTGGTTATAGCAGATGTAGTGTATTTGATACATTATTATACACTCTTTCTTACTTTCACCCATAAGTGTTTATTGATAATTTCGTTGAGATTTTCACGAGTTTTTCTTTTGACGTTTTTTCCCGTAATATTCGAGTGGGCGTAACTTGGATTTGGGTTGTTCCTTTCTTACATTCTTTGCTTGCGAATAAAGCATTTCTATAGTTAACATTCTGAACTGTTACTTGTACTTTCCGTTTTCAATTACTACGAACAAAAATATTTTGTTAAACCTTCCTCATTATCGTCAGAATTAGTTTATCATATCTTAATCCTATTTCCTTATTTATTGCGAGCTTAGGATGAGCGTAAATAATAAATAGTAGACTCTCCGTTAGAAATAACAAATCTTTTCTGCTGTACTGGAACTTTAAAACCTTAACCCTATTTATTCATTCATTTACTATAGGTTAAACAAGTCCCGTATATAACGCCTGCTTATATATATCAACTAAATTTAACAAAGTCTAACACTTCGGATTCCATACGTTTAGTATTAACCAAAATTACACGGGTCGTGTTGTTGTTATACAGGTATAATACGGGTAAAATAATATGTTTAGATATATCTTAGGAACAATTATAAATATGTACCTTGGGGGCTTTGTTGATCAAAAATATATGTGCTTGTAAAAACAAAACGAAATTTTATCTTATTTGGCCTTAACGACACCAAAGGCTTTTCCTTTATTTGAAATACTTCAAAAGATTTGAATGTTTACATACAAGCGTCACTGATACAAATGATACGAGTTGTTTTCTGAAGCAGGTGACCTGTTCAATCATAAGAAAACAGGGGAAGCATGTTGTAACTAATGGGTTAACATAATAGACAAACCTGTAAAAAAAAATGGTTAATTAATTGTTGAGGTTGTAAAAGTTACCATTTTTTATTCAAATTAAAAATAACTTTATATAATGTATAGAGTTAATCGTGGAAGGAAAAGCGTGTCCGAAGAAGCTGAACTTTAAAGAACGTGACAAAATGGAAAACGAAGAGATCCTGGAGAAGTTGCGCGAAGAAGGTCTTGTTCTAAAACCCGAGTCCAGAGCAACAGGTGGAATTAGGTATCATTCAATAATAGTTTAAATTAAAACTCTCACAAGTTAACAGTAGAAACTAGGTACCTGTGTTTGTAAGACTAATGTAACTTTACATAATTGTGGGAAGAAGTATTCTGTTTAAGAAACAGCCAGGTCTATAAAGTTTGGATTCATGGATGTTTCGTTTGGACTTTCTTTTGGTATAATGTAGTTCTTCGCAAAAGAATTTGTTTTTTTTTTATTTTGTATTGGAATAAAGACGGTTTGGATTTATTTAACTAACTAGATTTGACGTAGTGTCTGAAGAAGAAGCCAGAAAGCCGGCTAATAGTCCGATGGTCCGCCGTCTCCCCCCTTTGAGACTACAGAACCGGGCAAAGCAAAGAAGTAAACGTAAAGATCTTACCAGTGATGAGATAAATGAAAAATTAGAAAAAGCAAATGAAAGGAAAAAGGTAAGGAGTACAGCGTGTTTCATGAGTAGTCGAACGTATTTTAATTGTCGTCTTCAGGTTAATGATTTCAAAGATTCTTTGAGATCAGTTCAGTAATATGACAGACAATACATGAAACAATTCTACACATTTTCTTTATGTTGGGTTATCGACATTCAAAACATACACACCTCGATCAGCAGACGTATCAGCTACATTTGTCTAATTACAGGAAAGCCCCCCAGTAGCGCAGCGGTATGTCTGCAGACTTACAACGCTAGAATCCGGGTTTCGATACCCGTGGTGGGCAGAGCACAGATAGCCCATTGTGTAGCTTTGTGCTTAACTTCAAACAAACAAACAACAATTACACGCAAACACTCAAACTGCGTACAAAGAACAGTCCTAAAAATATGCAAAACGTTCGTACGCCCACTCATAGAATATAGATGTCAAATAACCTACAACACGTCTAAAAATAATCTGAAAAAGCTTCAAATCCAGCAAAACAAATCCATAAGATTAGGCCTAAGGCTTCCAATATTTACCCCTGAAAAATACATACACAAACTAAGTAGCCTTCCCACACTCAAGAATAGATTAGCAAATATTATACAAAGGCGGACAAAAGAAACAGCTTAACTTCAGCACTACACAAAATCTCAAGTGCTCCCACCAAACACTCTTCACCATACAACCTATTCTGCTAACAAAACACAATATATAGAACCACACGCACATAAAGGTTGAATCTTTTTGCATGTATATCGATAACCACGTATTGCCTTACAGCCAGGACACAGGATAGATAGATTATTCGGCGTTTGTCCTGTGAAAGTGGGTTTTCTCTGAGCACTCCGGTTTCCCTCCACATCAAAATTATCTTCCGGGCATTGGACCAATGGTCCAAGCCTCCCTGAAAAGGATCTATAACCTTCACCAGTGTTAAGAAACTAAATAGATTTTTGAAACTACCCTAATCCAAAAATTCTTTAAACTACCAAAATGTTCCAACCAAACAACATGTAATTTATAACCATATCATACGTAGCACACATATGGATCTTCCTGCTCTTACAACTTCGTCGACCTCTTCGACTCAACCGACGCTGGACATCACGACGCAGTGTCCGTCTCCTCGAACTTTCTTCACGGCTTCCTAATGACACCACAATTAATTATTTACAACGAAAACAGAAGATAAAATTAAATTCACTAAAAGAAATAATACTCACGTTGAAGAGGAACAAAAGTTCCCGAACATACCAGTTGGGAAGGGCAGACAAACCTAAAAGCTTGTTTTTTCTTCCTTCGAACTAAATTACTGCCACGATTAGTTTTTTTTTCTTTTACTAAGATGATTTTCAATCCCTACCTTACAAACACACTTATAAATCATACTTTTAGGATATCTTAGGAAACAAGAAAAATTTCAGTAACATTCAAAACTGATAATCATGCCACATTTCTTTATAGTAATCGAAATGATCACGAAATAATATACGAGCCTATGGGTGTAAACCTATCAAACGTTAAGAAGTTCCAAATCCTCAATCTGACGCCAAGCAATGTTACAATGTAGTTCTGATACATGCTATTACACCGCGACTTTATATCAACTGTGGTTGTCACGGACTTGTTGATTTGCATATTCAGAATGATGTTAATAAAATGTAACCTTCTGTATTATTTGAATTTACATCTTCAACACACCTCTTGGCCTCACTCCATTTACAACCTTGTAGTCCTATATGAATCGCACTGTAACCAGACGTTTGTCTGCCCCCAATTATTTGCACTTCCACTGTAATAGTTTACAGTGTTCTAAATTCAGAAATAGTGAAAATAAATTATTTTTGGACACTCTTACAATACGATAACTAATAAAGCGATTGAGTGATTTGTGGCAATGACAGTTGATTTCTTATAAATAAGTAAGTTATAGAGAAGTTTGTTTGTTTGTAATTAAGCACAAAGCTACACAATGGGCTATCTGTGCTCTGCCCACCACGGGTATCGAAACCCGGTTTCTAGCGTTGTAAGTCCGCAGACATACCACTGTGCCACTGGGGGGCATAAGTTATAGAGTAATGGTTTATATATATTTAACGATTTCCATTGTTGAATTTTTTATTATGGATTATATCTTTTCATTTAATTTTCTATAAATAATGAATATTTATTTTTTATAGCAAAAAGAAGAGGAAAGATTGAGAAAATTAACGACTCAACAGAAGATCGACGAAATAACGTCAGCTGTCGCTCATCAAGCGGAAGAAAAGAAGCAGAAACAGGATGAAAAGATGGAAGCAGTAATAAAAGGAAGGTCAGTAATTTCACTTATACAGACAATCTGTTTTGGTATGTTTCTACAGTTTTATCACACTCCAGACACATTATACATATCTTAGTGTATTTTTGTAGTTTTTCATACCCCTAGCCACACTATACAAATAATTTATTCGGTATGTTTGTTTAGTTTTTCACACCACTAATCACACTGTACAAATTACTTATCTTAGTATTTTTGTATAGTTTTCTCACACCCCTAGCCACATTGTACAAGTAATTTATATTGGTGTATCTTTACAGTTTTTTTTTTCACGCCCTAGCAAAACTATTCAAACAATCTATCTTGATGGATCTCTGTAGTTTTTTTCACACCCATAGTCACGCTATACAAATAATTTATGTCTTGGTATGTCGCTACATTTTTGTCATATTCCAGCCAGAATATACAAATAACTTATCTTGGTGTATTTCTTTCTTTTTTTTTCACGCTCCAGACACACTATACAAATAATCTATCTTGATGGATCTCTATATTTTTGTCACAACCCATCCACACCAGGAAAATAATTTATTTTAGTGTGTCTATGATATTATCATACTATATTTGAAAACTACAATGACTCAAATAAGAGGAACAGGAAATAAACTCAGAATCAGGAATTCAAAAATAGATAAAACGAGTCATTTCAAATTATATAAAACATATTTGATAAAAATATACGTATTTTATAACTATTCTGACAATAAATTTTAACATTGAATTTGAGTTGCCGTGAACTTTCTGAACTGCAGCGGTAATGAAATCGTAAAGCATCGTGGGTTATAAGCTACAGGAAATAAGATAAAATACATGAGACATTATTTACAGGACATTACATCAAATACAATAATATATCTTCTTAACAAAAGGAGTGGCCAAAAATATCATATAATATACAAAAAACTACGAGACCAGTTAATGAGCGAAACAAAATATAATGCATAGAGATCTTTTTAACCAAACCAGTTGGTAATGTAGGCAGTAAATTTAAGTGAGTTTAAGAGAAAGCTTGATAACTATATATATGATAAGGGCTGACTTTAAGATTTTTTTATATATTTCTATTTATAATAGTTTAGAGGATGGGACAGCCGAGATGGACCAACAGGTCCCTTGTTGCCCCTAAACTTTATGTTACGCTATATCAACATCAGTGGTTAATACAAATAATGCTAACAAACTGAGTAATGAATATAAATTCGATGACGAGGAACCCACTTTGAGACTAATAATGGTTGGAGACGGCTTGAATGGGTAATGAATAAAAACTTTAATATAAGTTTAACATAACAGCAAATGTACAACGTTTCGACAAGGTTTTGTCATCATCAATTTGATTTTCTAGATTCTGGCTAAAAAATAAAGAAAAAAGACATCGCGATCATTTTAATTTGATTTTCTAGATTCTGGCTAAAAAATAAAGAAAAAAGACATCGCGATCATTTTAATTTGATTTTCTAGATTCTAGCTAAAAAATAAAGAAAAAAGACATCGCGATCATTTTAATTTGATTTTCTAGATTCTAGCTAAAAAATAAAGAAAAAGACATCGCGATCATTTAATTGATTTCTAGATTCTAGCTAAAAAATAAAGAAAAAGACATCGCGATCATTTTAATTGATTTCTAGATTCTAGGCTAAAAAATAAAGAAAAAAGCATCGCGAATCATTTAGATTG